AAAGTTTTGAAGTAAAACATCTCCAGTATAAGAAAAGCTGCAAGACTGACTATATTAGCTCTATTAAGGATTTAATGTAAATAGTCTCCTTTTTTTGAGAAGCTGAGGAAAAGGCCAAAACTCATCAGACTTGTACCCAAAGAACCCAAGTGGGATCTAAATCTCTTCTAAAAAGCCCTGAAAGCAAACCCAATATATCAATGTCTGTCAGTGTTGCTGATCTGCAGTTATTGAAAGTCTTTAATGAGAAATATTTTTCTTTGCTGGTATTTGAAAGTATTTTAAGAGCATCTTATTTGAGTTTGTAATTTGCACACTTTGTGAAAGATGAGTCTTGTTCTTATTTGCACTGGTAGCTTTTCTTACCTAAATATCTACAAATTCATTTCTTAGTTTCATCCCCTTGCCTAACAATTGATATTTGTGTAAAATAAAAGTACATTTATATATATTCTGTACCCTTTATCAAATGTTATCCCCTCCCTCTCATCCTTTGTTTTTCTGAATTAAGGAATCTTAAAAATATTTAAGTGATTTGAAAGATTTCGGGCTCTGAAGTATCAAAAGAGAAATATCAGATTTTGTCTCCCATTTTCCTTATAGTCCTGCCTTAAAACAGCAGGGAGGAAAAAAAAGTTGTTTATAACTTAATAGAAGGCATAGCCTCTGAGAGGTTTTCTTTTTGCCTTCTTGCTGGGTAATTGTTAGAGAGACACCAACTCCTGTTTCAGAGCTTCTCTTGATTTATGTAATCTTTGTGCAGCTATTTGCTATTGAGATGACCTGGACTTTTTGAAACTTTGTGGCAAATGCATTTCACGTGTGGTTTGTTTTCTTTCTTTCTTTGGGGTTTTTGTTGTTGTTACTTGTACATTACTTTCTACAAAACTGTAAGCTGTGAAAGTTCTGTTTAAGAGTGCTGTGAAACTTCCTAGGTAAAAAGTTAATCTTCTTATACTGTTGCTTTGGGGGAAAGGAAGATCAGATTTGGTTTAAGTGATCTGAAAAAAATATATCCTCTTAACTAATTAGTTGGACTGCTTTAATATCTGGTTACATAAACCTGCTTTTCTGACTGTATGCAGTTTTCCAGGAGAAAACAAGAAAATACTGAAGCGTCCTGTGTGCACACACTGAGAACAAGGAGCGGGTTTTACTTTGGTTAAACGAATCCATGTCCCTACTGAGCAGGGTCCATTCTGGCAGGATCTTCCCCTTCAAACTCATCTGCATTTTATCTCTGTGTTTTTCTGTGTTCATCTCCATGTTCCCTTTGCCCAGGTGTTCAGAGTAAAGAAATCTGAGATATTATGTCTGCCTTTAACTAGTGGTGTGTGCGTGCTCAGCCAGTTTATTAAATCCCTAAAATATTCAGCATTCATGACCAGAAATCTTTTTTTACAGACCATTTTAGTTTCAAAACTTCGAAGTAAATGATGTGGTGTTTGACTCGGGTTGTTGCTCTCTTTATAAATTGAGTTGTCGATTCTGTCAGCAGTGTGCCTGACCATGGGCAAGTCTAACACTCAGTCAGAGGCTCTTTACAATACACTGCTGCTGCTTCGTCTTGCACGCTGCTCAGCCCCCTGTTTGAGGGGTTCATCTGTTTTGCTGGGAGCATCGCTTGTGCAAGTCAACCTACTGGCAGCGTGTAGGTCCTGTGGGTGGATCTTCTGGGCATTTGGGTATTTTATTTTGTTGGTTTTTTTAAGTCTGTAGCCTTATCTTTTTCTGTTGGGGCAAAATATGCATAATGAAGGCCTTTACTCGGACATCAGCACGTGAGTCTCACAGCTGACCTATAGATAATTTGCTCTTGTTAGGAGGAGGTTTAATTTTAGAATTGGCTTTACATAGCTGTGGGCTGCTGCTGATTTGGGCTGGCCTGCTTTTTCATCCATCACATCCTCCCATTATCGGGATTGTACTTCCAGTATCGGGTCAAGTGATTGTACGAGGTGCGTGGGATCAACCACTTGAAACCCTTGTGTCCCAGTAGATTTCCAGCATGTACTTTTCTGATGCAGTGATGGAAAGAATAAAAATCCAATTGCAGATTAAGGATTTACAGCAGGATCAGTGGTATACTTTCTCCTCTGTATGGTATAAATGGGATTTTGCCAAGGCACTGGTCCCTGTATGTTCATTCTGGTGTCTGATTTGAGCAAGTCCGGTCTTCATTTGCTAGGTGACGTTGGTATATAAAATAAATTGTGGGTTTGTTGCGTTTCTGGTTTTATTTGGGTTTTTTTTCCCCTGTGTTGTTGGATCTCAGATGCGATCTTTTCAATCTGAAATATAGAGGGACATGCACATCAAGCTAAGTAACAGTAAAATACTCAAGTAGACAAAGCACTCTTTATGTGGAGGATATTTTATAGCACCTTGGCAGGAGTTACAAAGCCTAGGTTGTAGTTTGTAAAGTGTGATTTGCTTCTTTGTTGCATACTCTGAACAATGCTAGGAACGTTTGGGTGCCATTTGTGGTCCCAAACCTTGTGTATAGGGAGTGACATCATAGGAGGTGAAGTTTTGCAAATGTTTTCCTGCTACTTAGTATCGTGCATAATTTTCCTGTGCATCTTGGGTGTGTTCTTGACTCATATTCCCCAGCCATTTTCTGAGTGGAAATTAAATGGGAGCTTTTTGAAAAAGACAAAAATAAACAAGAGACTTTCAACTTTGTATTTAAGAAAGATAAAGCAGAGCTCTTCACAGCTTTGTTTATTTACCAACATTACCCGGGTTAACCATATCTTTCTGCTGCTGTACATTAAGTTCTGTTCGTGGGGTTTTTTTGGCAAGGTGACTGTGGTTTTTTGGAGGTTTTGATTGGTTGGTTGGTTGGTTGTTTTTTGATTTTTCTTTTCCTGAAGCTGTTCCTCAAACGAGTACTGGTTCCCTTCACAAGAAAATACCTTCTGCATAATTTCTATGAGTTTTTCAGATTTTCTTAATACACTTTTTCCTAGGACAATAGAAAGACAAGAATCTGAAATAAGCCTTTAAGCCAAATTATATTAGGATGGTTTAGTTTAACTCTCCCCTTAAGTGTAGGTGCTTCCCTTTTAAGCTCAAACAACTCTGTCATGCACTAGTACAAGATTAACTCTTTACTCCACCAGGTTCTGTATACATCTAACACTGTGTGGTAATTGAAGATGCTGCAGAAGCTTTTAGGTCCTTGATTAAATTTATTGGAGGGTAGTGGTGTAACTACATTATACTGATTATCCACAGCCTCCCTCCTGCCGCCCAGCATACACTTCCATACAGACGACACCACTGTGGCTGAACAGTCTTCCTTCTGTTTCGGACCTAAGAAAGTCCTTGTATTCTTTAGTTGTCTCTTGTTGGGTTTTTTTTATCCAGCTATGTGAGCTGTTTTAATAGAGTTCCCTTACCTAGTATGTTCTCCTCTTCCTCCCCCTGCCTCCAAGCTTCTGCTGTTGGTTTCAGGTACACAGTTTGCATTAAACCTGAACTGTATCAGCTTAAGTGTCCTTCCACCCACCCTAAAGCTCAAGGCTTTGTTCTGGTGGCAGTAGTGCTACCAATTCACTTCATCCTGGAAAGTGAAACTGTCTCTTTCTCAGTGTCTGTGATAGTGGAGCTGCTGCGCAGGCTTGCTGCCCTCCAAAGGGTAAGGTCTTGTTCTTGGCTGCCTTGTTCTTGCCCCCAGCCCCTTCGCATCATACCATCTATGGTACTTGTTCCTTTTCACAGGGTGATTCAGGTTATTAAACCTGTGCAAAACTAACCTGTGGAGTTTCAACAGGTCTGGACAGAAGCTTGTATCCTGACCTAGCTGCTAGTGTGAGTGTCTGCAGTCGGAAGTGGGTTGTCTCCACAACTGTAAGTAGTTTTTGAGGTATTACAAGTTGGCAGCCTCAGTTGGACTGGTCAATCTACTGAAGATTTTTTTTATTCCCCTTAGGATCCAGTTTCCAAATTCTCACATATATTAAGCAAATATCATATTCTTAGAAGTCTTCTGAAAGCTTGTTTGCTAGTGGTGAGACTTTGAAGAAGACTTCACAAGAGAGAATTTCATACATTCTTTTCCTAGTGGCTGGTTGGTTTGGTTTGAGGTTTTTTTTTCTGTCACATGCAGAACAATTAAATTACCATTTTTAGATATATACCAAGCATGCATACAAATTGTTGTCATAGGACTATGCAGCAGTTGATACGACATAAATTTTGTATGTCAGTCATCTAGATATGACAGGTGTATTTGGAATACCTACTTTAGCTCTTTGGAAGACAATCAGCCTAAAGTCCAACTCCTTAGTTGCATGTGGAGGATCCCCACTGCTATAATTGTAGAATTATTGTGATTGGTTTCCTATTTCTTCAGGCCTTCACAATACTGTGTTTGGCTGCTGATGCAACATGCCAGAGACTGATCTGTTCCCTTGGTGTCTGTAAATAGTTGTTAAACCTCCTGGCAAGCCTGAAGCATCGTTCTGTGCAGTGATGGCTCTCAAGAGGGAGCCTGTTGATACCATAACTGTCAGTGACTCTACTTATTTACGTGGAAGAAGTCTGTTCTGTGAAGATGAAAAGCTCAGGCTGTACTCTAGTAACATCTGATGAAACTTAACTTTTCCTTTTTTTGACAACCCTATGAATCATTAGTACAGACAAATGAAATTTAAATACTTCTGCTGTCTGGACTGATACGAGTTGAGAAATACCAGAGATCATGCTTCCTAATCTCCAAGGTTTGTAATTAGCAGTAACTTGAACTGGTCTAGGTTTGTTAGTCAAGCAGGATCAGTGCTTAAGATTTAAGTTTGAAAATTTTGGTTCTACATACAGTTTTGTAACTAAAACTTGAAAACTTACTTGTAGAAATGAAGGTGAACAGAGACTATCATTGTGAGCAATTGAAAGAGAACAGCAAGAGAGAAAGAAGTAACTACAATTTTTTGGTTTTTTAATAGATGCACATACATGTCTTGAAATGTAACTAACTTCATTTTAAACCACAAATTCATCATGTAACTTGACAGCTGGCAGCTCAAGCTTGTTTTAGAAAAACAAAGTGCACGGTTTTGTTAACGTTTATGTGGCATCGATTTCAAAATGAAAAATCAAAAGGAATGGTGTAGTCATATTTTGCTGTATTGCTTCCAAAAAGGAAAAAATGCTGTACAAGCTCAAAAAGTTATGTGATACATATGGTGAAGATGTCTTCGACTATGGCGGTGTCAGAACCGGTTTGCTAAATTTCAGTCTGGAGATTTTGATCTTAAAGATGCTCAGAAAGGCCGGTCAAAGTTGGTAACAACAAAATAAAGGTGTTGATCTAATCTCCTTTGTTCTTAACTTTTTTTTATTTAAATATTTTGGCTTGTGGTTAATAAGCTGATTGTGTATGCTTATATGAACTAGAAAGAAAAACATTTTGATGATGAGTTTCTCTTTATATATCCTAACATAGCTTAATTAAAAAGCCTTCAATCAAAATGTGGTAGCACTTGCTAGATCTGAGTTTACAGAATCCCAGAAATTTTGTCCCAGGTGATTGCAACTGGATGATGTGTTGAAGAATGGGATTTAATGGTAACTCTGTGGAAGCTGCTGTGGTTTCCTACTACTTTTCCCTCTTAGCTTGTAGAGTGTTTCTAGTGAAGCTTTTCCTCAAAATACAGAGCTAGACCTTCTATTTTAGCTTCTTGAAGGTCACTGATCAGAATAAATGTGAAAAAAATTATTTGGCTCCTTCAAAGGTACCAAGGCCTCAAACTTAAAAATTCAGTGTACACCTGTTGATAGGATGTGCTGTCATAGGTAGCAGTAAGTTGAGGAACAGAATTCTATTAGAAATAGAAGGCAACTCAAGTTATGTCTTCTGAGAAAGAATATGTGAAGGCAAAGCTCCTGAAACTCCAGGAGCTAGAGATATTAACTCTATATTAAGAGATATTAAAGAACCATACAGTAGCAGTAACTGGGTAGAGACCAAAGAGACTTTTTGAGATTTGTGTTGAATTTCCTTGAGTTTTGTGTGGCATGTACTGTTCTAACTCAGATGGTTTCTAACACTTTAACATCAGTTGTTTCTTAATGGCATTTCAAAAATACCTGTTTTCAAGAGAAGAGAGGTAAAGATAATGCTGTTTTGAAAGAGCAGTAGAACATAAGGACAAAGTGGCTTGGACACACAAGCAGTTTTGAGCATATGGGTATGTACTTGTAGTTACAGTAAACCTTTATGTTCTGTTTAATATAACGGACACAACACAAATATTACGTGAACAAGATGTGTTTTCCAATAATGCTGTTTTTTCTGTAGTGAAATATGCTTTCCTAACAAGCAGGCTATTCAGTATGTTCTGTTAATTTTGTGAACTCTTGACATGTTTACTGCTATTTGAATACTGCTCTGGGGATGCTTGGCATTTATTAGCATTGTCACGGGTATTTCTCGTGAAGCACATCACAAACACAGTACAAAAAGCTCCAGGCATGGATGTGAGTAAACACTAAATACTTCTGCAGAGCAAGCCAGCACCACACACAAACAAACTGTTGTACTTCCAACTGAAGTGATGTAAGATGTTTCTGGTCCTTCTGCTGTGCCGATACCCACTGTCATTCCCCACAGCTGAAACACATAGGTTACTATGTGTTCACCCTGTTAGTAAAGTTGATGAGTTTTAACCACTTGCATCAGTTATTGAATTTAAGTCATTAGAGAACACAGTTTCATGTTATATCTAATCTACCCTATTTGCATTTACTTCATACCAGCACTGGCATTACTATGTTTCTGCAATTAAATACTTCAGAAGACTTCAATTTTTCTTTTTTTATTATTATTGTTGTTGAGGTTTGTTGTCTATAGTATTAGTCCATACACAGGCTTCCTGAGGGGTTGAACAGATACTGGTACAGAGAAAGCGCAGAAATGTGGCTGGAGAGGAAGGTAGTGCTTCCTCAGAGGGTATCCATCGAGTGACTCAGCCATGGTGTAAAAACTGTGGCTGCATTTTCACTTAACACTTTAAACCAAAGTAATTTGGCTTTGCTTCTGAAAGATCTGATCTCCTCCATTCCAAGCAGTTCCTGCCCCTCCTTCTGTGTCATTGCGCATTTTGACTGGCATGTGCTGATCACAGCAAAACTTATGGTTACTTGGGGGGAAAAGCCTGGCTATGTTAGGATAGTTCCCACCTGAGACATATGAACAGAATCAAACACCTAACCTTAAATATGTTGGAAGAACATCAACTGATCTTCATGTGTACACATTTTCCATATGGGTTTGGTTTTCTTTTTAAACAAGTTAATTTAAATTAATTCATTCTTGGGGTGTGGGGCACGGCATAGAAATCATTACAGACTTCCCAATCACTTGATGTATTTTATTAAGAATACTAACTTTTATGGTGTTTTATTTTTGAATAAATTATTTATATTTTTATTTGTAGGTTTTCACTGCTGCTTCTTAACCTGGAGGAATATTATTTTGAACAGCACACAGCAAATCATATTATAAATAAAGGTTGCAGAGATGAAAGGTATAAAACTTTTACATACATTCATTTACTGGAGTTGTTCTACTCTTACATATCTCTTAACACATACATAACTACTTACTTTATTATTATTCCTTTTAGAAAATTTAGAGGCTCTCTAAAAATCTGTTCAAAATCAATCATTTTTGAACCTGATGACAATATCCAACCCATTATCAAGGTAAGCCGTGCAACCTTACAATTTCTTGGTAACTTAAGATTCTCTTTAAAAAGCTTTTAAGAAGGAGTACATGTTTTTATAACTTGCTGCAGATACCATTGAGAGACTGCATTAGTATAAAAGCCCCAGAAGACAATGAAGCAAATAACCCTTTCAGACGGTACGTGAATTTGACTTACTGTAGGTACATACTTAACTCTTTTTAAAGCCGAAATGCCCTTTTCTTCAAATATCTTATTTACATTTTAGGGATACATCTGGAGGGATTTCTGTTGTATGCAGTCAGGTAAGACGTGCATATAACAGATTCTTGATGCATAAATGACCGAGGTTACGTTCTTTAATGTTAACTTTCTTGAAGCTGGAGTCTTAGGGTTGGGGGTTAACTAGAAACAAACCTAATTAGTGTCAAAAAACTTAGCATGAATGTGAAGCTGTTGATGCTGAAAATCTCAAACTGTTAGTGACTCAATGAAATCATTAATTTGATAAAGTGAACTTTTTGCACTGTGCATTTTATAATGGAGGTTATGGAAATAGGCTAAAATTAAGTTGGTTATTAAATCTTTTTTTTGGTCTTGCTGTATTGCTTTCTCCTACTTTCTGCAGCATGTAGTGGTAATGGCAAAGCCATCTTGATCCTTGCGGTGCAGCTTTGTGACTACATGT